CTAGGGTGTGTGAATATAAATAAAAGATGTGTGACATCTGGGGTAGTCCCCTAGTTTGATTAGCATAGTCTGGGTGTGAATACATAGGCCTACTAAGGAGGGAGGTCCCACCAGTGGTGTGGTTGGCACCAATGAGTAGATTTATAACCTATGTGAAATGTAAAGAGACAGAAAAAAAAGCCAGACTTGCTGCTTTCTGCCTGCTCAGTTCCGCGCCTGCTCCCCCTCTGAGATGGCTCTCCTCCATGCTGCCTCTCCTTTAAGCCAGCCAAATATGAACTAAAACCTCTACAGACTATGAGTGAAAATAAACTTTTCCTCCTTTCACTTCAAGTGTGAGGTATTTTGTCTCAGCAACAAAAGCAAAGAAGATAGTTTTCATATAAGGAGTAGATGATCAGAAGCCTTCAGAGGTTTCTAAGCAGAAAGTCCGTGGACTGATAGACATGGCTCATTGGCTTTGATCCCCTATAGGGAAAATAAGCCCATATCATCTCTCCTGATTCTTTTTCCTCAAAGTTCCTCTGAATATGATATTAATTTGCCCAAATCTTCATGTCTCAAAACCTGACCATATGGTGCAAATAATATGTTCTTATGGAAAAAGCATATTAGACTTGTCAGCCCAACTCTTTGTATTTGGCAGAATGTGACGGAATTTGGATGCAAAGAATGTGAGGATCTGGAGGAGAAAAGCATTGCTGAGTTTTTGGAGAGTTTTGTACACATCGTACAAATGTTCATCAACACATCTTGATTGCAGTTGATCTTCAGAGCTTCTCGTATTAGCAAACATGGTCCCATCGCTTACAGCCAACCACACACCGCACAGGAAGTGTGTTGCCAACACAAGTGTTTCTAGCAAGAAGTTGACCAGCATGCTGGATCAGATGAAGTCAGAAACAATGTGTGTGCGCAACATCGTTACTATGAACTTTTCTGAGACTTTTTTTTAATTTATTATTAAAATTTTGCATATTTGTAATATAAAATGTTCAATAAAATTATATACCTGTTTTATCAATTAAAATTGCACTGATATTTTATCTCTTACAGGAAAATTGGGGACATTTGTTTTAAAAGTTACAAAGTGAGTAGGGAACAACCAGCCTTGGAGGCCAAAGACTGTACAGGATCTACTGACTAGCAGACTTCATTTATTTCCTTTTTTTTTTTTTTTTTTTTTTTTTTTTTTTTTTTTTTTGGTACAGGGTCTTGCTACACAGCTCAAACTCATAGTGATCCTCCTGTCTGAGCCTCCCCAGCACTGGGATTACAGGGGTGTACTGCCACATCCAGTTTCAATGGCCAGCTTGGCATGGGGCCAGCACAGCATGTGGTACCGGGGATTGAACCAGGATCATTGCACTTGCCAGGCTTAGACCACTGACCTATCTCTGTATCCCTTCATTTACTTCTGTATTCAGAACAGTGTGTGCAGGAAGAATTAGCTACCAATGAGAAAAAGAGGAATCATATGTGTGCACCCTCTGCTTTATTCTATAACTTAACTATTGCTATATAAAGCACTTGCTAGGAAAGAAATACATCACAATACCTGGCATTTAATGTGAACCTGTAAATCCTAAGTGGTGGTGGCAATAAAAACCACTGAAATGTAGAAAGGTGTATAGAAAATGAAAAGCTGCAACTGTACTTATATTTCAAGCTTTCCAAACTACTAGTATTTTATTTTAATAGTCCTGTTTGCTATGGTCATAGAAGTTTTGAAAAATATTGATTCATTGTAGTTTGACAGAAAATGATTGTTTATGATTTTTGCTTACAATTGCTATAAGTATTTATAATGTTTTTCACTATATATACACTAAAATTTGCAAGATTTCTAGATTTTCTGTTGGCAGAGAGTAGGAATAAGTCATAACTTAATTTATTTCTTGGTTTTTCCAATCTAATCCTTAGACTATGTTTAGTTCTTCTCTGACTATCATAAGGAGAGAAGAAAAATAATAGTAATATTACCCGCAATAATAATAGTCATATTACCAGTATCATTTTGGTTCTATTAAGCACACGGTGAGCTTAAGATTGGAATTTTCCAGCATTCAAATAGAAGTCTTCTCACATTAGTTACTTAACATCAATGGGTTCAATTGGTCTTAAGGAATTCCACGGATGGGTATGCAACCTTTATTTGTAGTGTTCAGGATTGAACCTCTGGCTTTAAGTCTGCTGGGCAGTTGCTCTCCCACTGAGCTACCCTCCAGCTGTGAGCTATGCTTTTTTCACACACTTAAAAATAAATTTCCAGCAGTCCCAATTTTACTTTTTATCCTTACATGCTTAATACAATCAGTATCTTGTACTTCTCAGTCTGCCCTCCTTGAATTGTCTTCCTTCATTGACCAGCCCAATAACAGTTGCCTAGAAAATACTGTGTTCAAGTCTCACCTGCTACTCTACATGTTGAAAATATTTACCATGAACTATATATGGAAGCAAAGCACAAAATTGGGCTGGAGAGATAGCTCAGTAGAATGTGCACTTGCGTGGCAAGTGCAGGTCCTGAGTTCAATCCCCAGTACCAGAAAAAAAAAAAAGCACAAAATCATACGTGAAGCACAAATAATAAAAATGAGGTTTACAGTCAAAGGTGTATTGGTGAATTCTGTTCTTGCATTTTCTTAAGGTCATGAGAGAATATTATCACTCCCCTCTTCTGGCAATAAACCCAAAGGCCTAGAAAGCAGGAGACATGAAAGCATAAGCAGAACCAATATGTAATTTTTGAGCCAAGAGAATTAAAAAACCCAACTACAAGTCCAGGTTTATATATCTTATTCTTTTTCTTAGAAGAGTGCATCGGATAGAATTGTTTCATCTTGCTGCTATTGCTATAGTTGTAAAAAGGGGTCATCTGTTTTTTTTTTTTTTCTCTTACAATGTTTTTTCAGTTTATTGTTAACCTAATAAATATTAAAACCAAAGCACATA